AACAGACTTCAGATTTACTTCTTTTTTTTTAAATATCTTATTTATTCATAAAAATACAGGGGCGTTCGCGCGCCACGCGTAAAATTCAGCCTGCTTTGTCTGAAACCAAAAACTCGATCAAATCAATAGAATTATGACTAATGTATTTGTTTATTCTACCGAAATATAGTTATGAATTCTTTTTTTCAGTTACATACGCGCATCTAACTGTGATAATTTTCAATCTTATGAATTGCGATTATATAATTTTATACCACGATTATAATAATTTTTATTATATTCTAAATCATATTACGTTATCTTTGAAATTATAATCTCGCAATAAAATTCGAATATTAACAAATGCACTAACTTTCGTTGTATATGTGCGAAATTTTTTTCATGCAACAAAGAAGCCGACAAAGATGTTGAAAAAAAAAATTAAAGTTAAACATTATTACAATTAACTGATCTAATTCATTGAGGAACATAATTTTATCAATGTATCGAAATCAGCGACCTTCTTCAGTCTTTTAATTACTTGTATTATATATTTACGATTAAATCTATATGTAATACATTGCGAGATGCTTGTTTTAAAAAGACTTGTATGACATTTTATCTACGAAAAACGGAAACTGACTACGTTTACACAGATATCTTTAATCGAATTTAATAATCCGTAGTGAAACTGACCAATCATAGCCATTCTTCTGATGAATGAAAAAACTGTGATTGGCCAGTTTTTAACTACGGATGTTATTAAATCCGATTAAATCCGATTAAGGATGCGATCCACTTGACGCTACAAATGCTTCGAAACTTTTGATTAACCAATCGAAAAAAAGAATTTTACTGATTGATTGACTAATCAAAAAATATTTTGAAGTATTCGTGAAGCATCAAGTGACTGTAGCCTGAATGCCGCGTAAACATAGTTACTAATGGCTCTTGTATACAGAACGTGGCAATGCTTGCCGCGCGAAAGCCAATCAGTTTATCGCTTTTCCATAAAAGCGAAAGAATGATTGAGGATGCTAATGGCTCTTGCACACTGGACGTGGTATATAATCAATGAAAATGTTAGGAGCTGTAAGTTTATTGGCTACTCCTGATGAAAACTTTTCTCATAATTTTTATACGAATTAGAACATTTTTCAGAAATGCTCAGAAATATTCGGAAAGTTTACATCTTCTTTCAGAATTTTTCATATAAGTGAATTCTGAAATATTTTGAAATTTCTCATCCCATAATTTAAAAAAAATATTTAAAAATTTTTTTAGATTTTAAAACATTTCATCAGAAATTATACTTATAAAAAAATCTTAGAAATCTTACGTTATTTCATAATTAATATATATGAAAAATTCTGAAAAAAGACGTAGATTTTCTGAGAAATGTTCCAATTCGTATAAAAAATGAGAGAAAGTTATAAAATTATATAGACATTCTGAAAAATTCTAAGAAAAATTTTCACCAGGAATCGCATCACATTTTGCCGCGTGGCAAGCGTTTCCGCGTCTAGTGCAGAAGCCATAAGTTACGCTGCGCAAACGTTACCGTTCTGTCTGCAGGAGCCATAACAGTCTTTCTACAATAATTAGATCATTATCTAAGCTTTAAGTCTTAAATTATAAGAAATTGACTAATCATAATCGATTATTCTCTTCGTATTCGACTGTAATTAGTTAATGTCTTATTAATTAGTTAATGTCTGATTTAAGACTTAAAAAATAGACTTAATAAATAACTTATTGTAAAAAGCCCATTAGATATTAGAGAGTTTTTACAATACCATTTATTCAGATACGCTTGGTCAGGTTATCTTTTTCTTAATTAATTAAGAAAAAAATAACGTGACTTTACGCGTTCACCGTATCTGGATATTCACGTTACTATAAAAACTCCCTAATATCTTGTAGGACGGTATTCGTAATCCATTCTTATTTTAAGACTGTCCTAAGTAATGTCTTAAAATGCTAATACGGCTCTTTGATTGATTCACCTTAAGACTGTACTTAAGACGATCTTAAATATAAGATTCGATTATGAATACTGGCTGCAGAAAGCTTATAAGGGCCATTACATATAAAATAGAGTTTTTGTGATAACATGGATCCAGATACGGTGAACACTAAAATCACGTTATCCTTTTTTTTAATTAGTCGTTAAGAAGAAAATAATATGACTTAGTGTATCTATTGAAAACGATATTGTAAAAAAACTCCCTATTAACATAAGCTGCATAACCATAGTTAGGATATATATATCCATACAAACTTGCATAGTCGCATAAACATATGCATACAAAAAATTATCCAATCGTATTTTTTTTATAAAGTCGTACGTAAAATATGATTGGATAATTTTCTTTATGCATACGTTATGCAGTTATGCAAATTTGTGTGGATATACCCTTAAGGCCGCTAAACTGCCAATAATGAATTATGATACTTATGTAAATCGATATGGCGTTTTTATGTTGGGTGCTCATGGTTTGGTTTAGCGATTTTATATTATAGTTATGCAGCTTATGATTGCGTCCAGCAGAGA